TGGAGTAGAGTGGTGAGCAAAACAGACAAGTCCTTGTTATCAGGGAGTTTAAAGTTTGATGCAGGAGATGGACTTGCAACAATAATCACACACTCGTGGAAAAATACAAACGTGATAAGGGTTCAGAAGGAAAACTACAGGCAGTCATGAGAGCATACCATTAAGTACCCAACCCAGTCTGGAAGGCCAGGAAAGCTTTCTCTGAGGAAGTAGCATTCAAGCTGAGAGTTGAAGGGTAAGGAGAAAACTAAAACTAGAGAAGGGAAGAACATTTCAGGCAGAGGGGAAAAGCATGACCAAAGGCCCTGAGGCAAGAGAGACCTGCATGTATATACAGAACTGAAAAGGCTAATGTGGTTAGAAAAAGCTTAGAATGGCAGAATTGGAACAGTTCTTTTGGAGTCCCATCCAATACTACTGGTGAGAAAACTACCACTGGGAAAGAAGGAAGTGATGGGTCCAAGGTCACAACCCCTGAATCAGTGACAGAAATGAGTCAAACATAGGTTCCCTAACTCCCAACCCAGTGCTCTTTCCAGCACAGATCATGGCTTCCCTGCATATGAGGAGGGAGGTCATTTGGGTAGTGGCAAAATGCTGCTGTTGGGGACTAAGGATGGAAGAGTGTTTTGGAGATAAAATAGCAAAAGGAGGCTTGGTCTCCGTAGCACAGTGGTTATGGCACCAGCCACATACATCAAGGGTGGAGGGTATGAACCTGGCCTGGGCCAGCTAAACAACTGCAACAAAAAAATAGCCAGGCATTGTGGTGGGCGCCTATAGTCCCAGCTATTTGGGAGGCTGAGGCAAGAGAATTGCTTAAGCCCAAGAGTTTGGTTGCTGTGAGCTGTGATACCACAGCTCTCTACCAAGGGCGACATATTGAGACTGTCTCAAAAAAAAAAAAAATAGCAAAAGGAAGTCTCCATGGGCAAGGAGATGAAGTGGATTTGGGGCAGAAAAAAAAAAAAAGTGAGGCTCAGCTCCCATAGCTCAGTGAGTAGGGCATAAGCCACATACACTGAGGCCTATGGGTTCAAGCCCAGCCTGGGCCTGCTAAACAACAATGACAACTACAACCAAAAAATAGCCAGGGGTTGTGGCAGGCACCTGTAGTCCCAGCTACTTGGGAGGCTGAGGCAAGAGAATCACTTGAGCCAAGAGTTTGAGGTTGCTGTGAGCTGTGATGCCATAGCACTCTACCGAGGGTGACATAGTAAGACTCAATCTCAAAAAAAAAAAAGTGATTTGGTAACCTAGAATTTAATTTGTGCTTCCCAGATACCTAATTAGCTTCCCCCCACCCCATTTCTAGCCAGGGTTCTTGTAAAATAGGTGGGTTGGGGGTGGGGGCACTGGGATTGAGGTTTTTGTTTCCTTTTCTTAAGTGAAAAGGTTCTGTCCCTGGGGAAGCAGGAGGGATGGGGAAAGCTGTGGGATGGAGGGTGTACTAGTCAGCCATCATCTCCAGCTCTGCCAGCAGGGGGAGCCAGAAACTGAACTTCCTGAGAATGGCAGTTGGCCTGGCCCCTGGGCTGGATAAACTTGTATTGGAAATTATCAAGTTACCACAGAATGCTGTAGTAATGATAGGAACTGAGGAGAAAAGAGGGAGCCAAGATTTAGGATTATCTGTAGGGTCTTTGCCCTAAGTTGCAAAGACTTTAATGAGTACCTTCTAAACTTGCTTTCCAGGGTTTGGGGTGAAGCAACCACCAAAAGGTAGAGAGCCCTTTGACAGGGCAGTGCCCCTGCATAAAACATGGAATCCTCCACTTCATTTGTGCTACCTCACCCACTCTGAAGACCTCACAATTCTGTCTCTAGCCTCATCCTCTCTCCTGAGTTGACCTAGATGGCAAACTAATTATAGGACATATCCTGGAAGCTCAAACTCAACATGGCACTGAATTCATCTCTTACCCTCCCCTAGACCTGGTCCCTCAATATCTTCCATCGCCATAAATGGTACTACCAACCCCCCAGTTGTCCAAGTCAAAAACTGGAAGAAATCTCCAAGACCTCCCTCTCATTTGCCCCACACATTCAATCCATCAGTAAGTCCTACTGGTTCTACCTCTAAAATATGTCCCAAATCTAACCACTTGTCTCCATCTCTACTGCCACCATTCTGTTCTAAGCCATCATTATCTCTCTTCTGGACCACTGCACTACCCTCCTGATTTGTCTTCCTCATTCTATTTGTGCCTGACCCCACTGTCTGATCTGCACCCCAAAACCAGAATAAGCTTTCAAAAACACCAAACTGATCATGTCATGGCCCTGTTTAAACCCTTCAATATCTCCTTTTTTTTTTAGAGAGAGAGAGAGACAGAGTCTCACTTTGTCACTTTCAGTAGAGTGCTGTGGTGTCACAGCTCACAGCAACCTCCAGCTCTTGGGGCTTAGGCAATTCTCTTGCCTCAGCCTCCTGAGTAGCTGGGACTATAGGCATCCGCCACAATGCCTAGCAATTTTTTTGTTGCAGTTTGGCCGGGGCTGGGTTCGAACCCGCCACCCTCAGTATTGGGGCTGGCTCCCTACTCACTGAGCCACAGGTGTCACCCCAGCTTTAATATCTCTTTATTATCCTCAAGATCAAGTCCTGTCTCATCACCATGGCTTACAAGGCCTTCCTGATCAAGCACCTCATTACCTCTCCCATTGCATGTCTCACTTCCTCACAACCATACACATACATGTACACATACATATATACTCTCTTCTTAAACTGGACCACTTCCGGCTGCTCAGATCTTGCCTCCAGACCTTCTCACATGCTTTTTCCTCTGCCTGGACTCTTCCCTTCCTCTTCACCTCACTATTTCCTACTCACTAAGATGTCCTCAGGTCTCCAGGAACCTTCCCCTATTCTTCCTACCAGTTGTCATTGCAAATCCTGCTTTTATTATCAGGTTTATATAATGGAATGGAGATCCTGTCTGACTCCCTCATGATCATGTGAGCTCTGTGAAGAACATATCTGTCTCTGTCACAGTTACAGCCTCACACAGCATAGAACAGTACCTACACATAGCAGCTGATCAATAAATATGGATAGCTGAACTAATGGATAACTTCTCAATTTATTAATCCTAAAAGGGAGCAATGGGCACCATGTTAGAAAACTAGAATGAGGCCTTGGGGCCAGGTGCGGTGGCTCACACCTGTAATCCCAGCACTTTGGGAGGCTGAGGTGGGCAGATTGCCTGAGCTCACAAGTTTGAGACCAGCCTGAGCTAGAGCAAGACCCTGTCTCTAAAAAATAGCTGGGCGTTGTGGTGGGTGCCTATAGTCCCAGGTACTTGGGAGACTGAGGCAAGAGAATAGCTTGAGCCCAAGAGTTAGTGGTTGCTGTGAGTTATGACACCATGGCACTCTACCGGGGACAATGAGACTATGTCTCAAAAAATAAAAAATAAAAATAGAATGAGGCCTTGGGTGGGATTGATACATCCAAAGCCATAATGAGAACCAGGAATCAAGAAAGGGGGGAGGGCCAAGCATGCCCATACCAGCCATTCCTCTTGCTAGTATCGCCCCTGTGTCCCTTTTATACCTGCCCTCAAGATAGACCTGGAAGTAGCACAGAGGAATCTGAGTTACACTCAGGAACTGGACACCCCTTTTCCATTCCCTTTCTAAATCTTGTGCTGAGACAAAGCCACCTGTGCTTGGTTGTGAGATGGATGGGCTCTAGCCAGTGCCTAGTCTTGGTGGGCTCTTCAGATGCCCTGTACCCACATGTTTCCTAGGTCAAGGACATTTTGGGGGGCTCCCCACGAGCTCTTCCTTAGCTACCTCATCCTCTGCAGCAGTGGAGAAACTCTCCCTACAGCATGAGTGTCTCTCCCAAAAGCTAAAATCAAGGCGGCTTCTCCCTGGTGCCAGCCTAAGAAGGGAGTCCAAGTAGCATCTAATCTTAATGTTTGTAGTCCTTTTCCTTTCTCTTTTGTACTAAAACAGACAGACAGTAAAAACTACAAGCTCTTTTTTTTTTTTAAGGAATTTTTTTTTTTGCAGTTTTTTTTGGCCGGGGCCAGATTTGAACCTGCCACCTCCAGCATATGGGACCAGTACCCTACTCCTTTGAGCCACAGGTGCTGCCCAAAACTACAAGCTCTTGGGGATAACAAAGGGGATTGGGGATGAGTGTTAAGTTTTTCTACAGCCCTTTGAAGGCCTTGGCCTCCTGACCAGATCTGAGTCAGGAACTGTATGTCCCAGAGAACTGGCTTCTCAACCATCTGCTTTGAGCTTAAAGAGCCTAGAGGCCCTCGTGGAATGCTCTGTTCAAATTAGCCAAGAAAGGCAGGGCGCAGACAACACAGCAGGAGGGACCTTGGCCAGTCTGAGCCTGAGGGTATGGAGGAAAGGGGCAGATACGTGACACCAGGGCACTCTAAGGGCATGGCAAGTCCCAGAACAGAGAGCTCCTCTAACAGCCCAACTCCATTGCTCCCAGAACCACAACTTTTACAACCCCTTTCCATGAAACTAATGCTTTGTGAACAACTAACAACTTTATGCCAGACACTTTCCCTACAACAAGAAAGATATTCTCTTTTACTAGTTGCAGGAACCAATATCAGAGAAGTTAATTGCCTTCCACAAGGTCATGCAGCAAGATTCAATGCGACCAGGACCAGTTCCCTTGTGAATAGTTGCCAAAGCTGCTAGAAAATGATTCTCCCTTTCAGTGAGCAGGTAGGCAGCCTGAGGATAATAGCCAGGAGAGGATACAGAAAGCCACACTCACTTAAAAATAATAATACTGTTGTTATAAAAGTCACTGACTGGAAGCGCATTTTTAAAAAGAACAGAAAGTCACACTCCTTTTATGCCTACAATACAACTTACTCCATCCAGGAGAAAACATGTCCTCCTTGTCCCTTTGATACACACTATCTTTAAGAATGGGTCAGGCGAATTAGTCCGAGTGGAGCAAGTGAGGAGAGTGGTTCTGTGATGGCGTCTCGGAAACCAGTAGCGCTTGCAGCATGACTGACCAACTGACTGAAGAGCAGATTGTAGAATTCAAAGATGCTTTTTCACTATTTGACAAGGATGGTGATGGAACTATAACAACAAAGCAACTGAGAACTGTAATGAGGTCTCTTGGACAGAATCCCACAGAAGCAGAGTTACAGGACATGATTAACGAAGTAGATGCTGATGGTAATGGCACAATTGACTTCCCTGAATTTCTGACAATGATGGCAAGAAAAATGAAAGACACGGACAATGAAGAAGAAATTAGGGAAGCATTCCATGTGTTTGATAAGGATGGCAATGGCTGTATCAGAGCAGCAGAGCTTTGCCATGTGCTGACAAATCTCAGAGAGAAGTTAACAGATGAAGAAGTTGACGAAACAATCAGAGAAGCCGATATCGATGGTGATAGTCAAGTAACCTACGAAGAGTTTGTACAAATGATGACAGCAAAGTGAAGACATTGTACAGAATGTGTTAATTTTTTTTTTGAGACAGAGCCTCAGGCTGTCCCCCTGGGTAGAGTGCCATGGCATCACAGCTCACAGCAACCTCCAACTCCTGTGTTCAAGCAATTCTTCTGCCTCAGCCTCCCAAGTAGCTGGGACTACAGGCGCCCGCCACAACGCCCGGCCATTTTTTGGTTGCAGCCATCATTGTTGTTTGGCGGGCCCGGGCTGGGGATTTGAACCCGCCACCTTAGGTGTATGTGGCTGGCGCCTTAGCTGCTTGAGCCACAGGCGCCGAGCCAGAATGTATTAAATTTCTTGTACAAAATTGTTTATTTGCCTTTTCTTTGTAACTTATCTGTAAAAGGTTTCTCATTAATGTCAAAAAATATGCACGTATAGTAATTAGGACTTCATTCCTCCATGTTTTCTTCCCTTTTCCTTATCTTACTGTCATTGTCCTGAAACCTTATTTTAGAGAATTGATCGGGTGGTGCTCAAGGAGTAGGGCACCAGCCTCATATTACTGGGGGTGGCAGATTCCAAAAAAAAAGAAAAGAAAAGAAAAGGAATGAAAATTGATCAGGTAACATGTTGCATGTGGCTTACTCTGGATATATCTAAGCCCTTCTGCACATATAAACTTAGATGGAGTTGGTCAAATGAGGGAACATCTGGGTTATGCCTTTTTCTTAAAGTAGTTTTTTTAGGAACTGTCAGCATGTTGTTGTTGAAGTGTGGAGTTGTAACTCTGCATGGACAACAGACAGTCAACAATATGTACTTAAAAGTTGCACTATTTCAAAACAGGTGTATTATTCAGGTACTCGTAATTTTTTTTTTTTTTGTACTGCTGGTCCTGTACCAGAAACATTTTCTTTTATTGTTACTTGCTTTTAAACTTTGTTTAGCCACTTAAAGAAACTCTGCTCATGGCACAATTTGCCTCAAATCCATTCCAAATTGTATATTTATTTTCCAATTAAAAAATTACAATTTACCCCCTCCCCCAAAAAAGAATGGGTCAGGCAATAAGAACAAGTTTTACAAGTGGAAATTTTATGGTGGAGAGAGAAAAAGACTTTCCTAGAATCTCACAGTCAGAGAGTAAGAGAATAGTTCAGATAAATGGAGCTGACCAAGAAGCCAGGCAAATCCACGGGAGTTAGACTAACAAGGCACCCCTCACTCCTAAAATTCTCTGCAGCCATGGATGTTCACGTGGATTGAAAAACCAATCCTCAGGCATAGTTTCTAGGGGACAGATTTGGGGAAAATAGAGAGCCTCTGGGGCTGATCTTTATTTTACTAGGAGTTCTTAAGCCTGGATTCATGTAAGACTCACTGGGGATCTTTCAAATAACAATTATATTTGCAATACATATATCTGACAAAGGACTAATATTCAGAATATATAAAGATTCCCCTGAAAATCAATAATAAAATCATAACCCAAAAATGTGGGCAAAAGACCTCATGAGAGAGGATATAGGAATGGTTGATAAGCACATGAAAAGACGACCAATGTAATTAGTCATTAGGGAAATGTGATTTAAAAATATGGTGAGATATCACTGCATACCCATGAAAATGGCTATAATTAAAAAGACAGAAAAATACAAGGTGTTGGCAAGGTTATGGAGCAGCGGTAACTCTCACATTTTGCTGGTGGGAGTGTAAATTGATGCAACTACTTTGGAAACTGGCAGTTTCAAATAAAATTAAAAATAAACCCCGTAATTCCACTCCAAGAGAAAAGAGTACATGTGCCCATGCAAGGGTGTCCAATCTTTTGGCTTCTCTGCACCACATTGGAAGAAGAGTTGTCTTGGGCCACACATTAAACCACAAACACTAACAAAAGCTGATGAGCAGTGTTTCTCAACCTTTCACTTTTCCTCTATTAAGAAGTGGTACCGGCTTGGTGCCTGTGGCTCAAGTGGCTAAAGTGCCAGCCACATACACCTAAGGTGGTGGGTTCTAATCCAGCCCGGGCCCGCCAAACAACAATGATGGGGGCAACTAAAAAATAGCTGGGTGTTGTGGTGGGCACCTGTGGTCCCAGCTACTTGGGAGGCTAAGGCAAGAGACTCACTTGAGCCCAGGAGTTGGAGGTTGCTGTCAGCTGTGATGCTACAGCACTCTATCCAGGGGGATAGCTTGAGGCTCTGTCTCAAAAAAAAAAGAAGTGGTACCTCATAGTTTTTATTTAGCATTTCCCCTGAGAGCAGGTCTTGACTGAGACAAGTCAAGGACATTCAAGTGGAAGATAAGGGTGTTGTTTCAGAGGCAGGGAGAGGCAGGTGTCTTAGGTGGTTCTGGCTGCTATAACAGAATACTATGTGCTGAGTGGTTTGAAAAATAAATATTGGCTCGGCGCCTGTGGCTCAAGCGGCTAAGGCGCCAGCCACATACACCTAAGGTGGCGGGTT